TTTTCTTTTCTTTTCTTTCTTTCTTTCTTTCTTTTCTTTCCGTTTCGTTTCGGGGGGGTAGGGAGGAGAGAGAGAGAGAGAGAGAGGAATAGCAGTCTTCGCAGCCATACTGGTCGAGAGACCTGATAAGTATGTATGTATGGGTGGAAGGAAGATGGGCCAAAAACATGAGTAGATATTAGCTAGAGCTAGGTAGCTGCTTGGGGATTCCCATGTTCATGAATATGTATGTATGGATATGTGTGTGTGTGTGTGTGCATTTTTATAGCTACTGCAATTACTGCTCATCTATCTGTCTCTATGCAGGATCGAGCTAGGCCAACAAACCAAACAGCAACGAGGTCCTCTTCCAGTATTCCTTCGCAGCAGCCTGTATCCGCTTCCGACTCGCGGCATCGAGTTCGACCTTCTCCTGCATCGCGTTCCGCAGCAGCAGCAGCGCATCCTCATCATCGTCATCCTCGGATCCAGCCTCTGGGAGCTCAAAGGCGCTCTGTAGCACGAGAATGTCGAAGAGGGATTGGATGAAGACGTCGTCGTCGTCGTCGTCGCTTGGTGAGGACTCGGTCACGACCGCTGGGCTCGCGTCGTCAACCTTCTGATTCTGATTCTGATTCTGATTCTCATTCTGATCTTCGGTGGATTCGCCGTTGGTGGTAGGCTCGGTCCCGTTTGCAGTATCCGTCTCGGCCTCGGCATTGGCGCCGTTGGTCGTCCCGTTGACCCCGGCTTCGACTTCGGCTTTGGCCTCGACTTCGACTTCGGCCTCGACTTCGACTTTGGCCTCGACTTCGACTTTGGCCTCGACTTCGACTTTGGCTTTCGCCTTGAGAGCTTCGCTCCATCCCCTACCCACCGCACCCCTCATCTCCTTCTTCAGAACGCGCACAGCAGCTGGACTCCATAAGTCGCCGCCTACTTGCGTCATAGCCAGTGCCAGATTGTGCAGCAGCTTAAACATCCCAGGAGAGGGCTGGACAGGCAATTCAGGCGAACCCTCCCACAGCAATCTCCCAGACACTCGCTTCAATGTGTATGTTCTGCTGAATGCTTGCAGGGGCTTAAGAGAGACCTCCGAAGCAAGTCTTTGATGAAGGGGCGCAACAAGCGGGAGACCAAAACCCTGGAGGGCCGCATGCTTGGGAAGCTCGGTGCGAATGTCCCGGATGATACGGAGAAGGTAGATGGAAATTTGCCCTATCTGCTCGCTAGCCTCATAGGTCTCCAACAATCCAGATATCTTGTCATGGAGCTGCCTATACGCTTCGTCCAAACTCGTATCGAGGTGTTCTTGCAGCATCTTTGGATCCTCGGTGCTCAGTAATGTGTTCCGAGACTCAACACCGAGATCATCTTCAATATCTTCCAGATCGTCATCCCAGCGTTGCTTTTTTAGCTGCTCCAGAATGACAATGACCTCGTCGATGAGATGTCGCCAGGTTTGGTGGCCTCGGAAGACTCGTGATACGGCATCGCTGCGACCGTGCGTACGGGCGAGAACACCTTGCTTGAAGAGCGCTGCTCCGTTGCTGATTTCCATTTCCAACAGGGTTTCATCCCAGAGACTTTCTTGTCGGTCTGTGATGCCTTCTCTCCATACTCCCAAAGTTCCTTCGATTTCTGTGGCAACAAGATGTAGTTTGCTCACTCTAGACTCGACCAGCGTGACTAGTCGATCGTTGATGACTTTTCGTAGACCATTTAGGAGGATCGACGGATCGAAGCCTTTTGCTTTACCGCCTTCTTTAATCCAGATCTCAAGAATCTGCGTTCGTAGACCGACGACGGTCTTGAACTCGGCTAAATGGCCCAAAGTTTTGCCCAATCCCTGCAACATTACTTCTGAGGCCTTCTTAGACCATCCCTTCAGCATATCCACGGCCTGGCTGCCTCCGAGGTCATCGTGTCTGATATATGGCGTGAAGAACAAAATTTCGTCTCCAAACCACTTTTCACAGATATCTAGTCTGAGGCCCTCGAGACTCCTGATTGACTCATCTTTCAGCAAAGGCTTCGTTTTCAGGCTTGCCAGAGCTTCTGAGAGCCGTCTCGGAACCAGTGCTTGAACGTCGAGTAATGTTAGCGTATACAGTTCCAATGCTCTCACAACTCCCGGACTATCCGCATTTTGGTCTTCTTCGTCAAATGCAAGAGCCATAGCTTCGCCTCTGATGTGTAGAAAGTGCCGTATGACATCTTTTGCACCAGAGCTTGTTGCCAGACTATGGGCTGCGAGTGCTTGGATCAGGTCGTCCCGACTGTCCCGTCCAACCTTCTCGGCAGTTTTCTCAACAGCCCTCAGGAGCTTCCTCCGTAGCGCACCCAATTTCCTCTTCAACTCTTCCACTGCATGCTGGTCCTCCTGGCTCCTCTTAGGTGCCATCTCCCCTACGCTCTTGGCCAACAACCGACTTAACACCAGCACTTTCGCAGCTAGCACCAGATTCTTCCCCTTCCCAGCTTTCGTTTCCGAGTTAACATTCCCTCCCTTTCTCAATAACTTCCCAACAGTGACCCCACATATCTCCAAGACTTTCAGTTTTGCTGCCCACGCCAGATCCTCAGCCCTCTTCTCCCCTCTCCCTCTCTCCTGCAGCTTCGCCAACCCGGTAGCCTTTCCCCCGACAATAGCTCTCCCACATCCCTTCCCAACCCGACCGAGCTTCTCCTCTACATGTCCGATATCCTCTCTCATCTGCAAGATCGTCTCTGCCGTCCCGAGGAGCTGTCGGTAGCTACCCCCCACCAATGTGCGCAGGCGCGCATTCTTCTCGTCTAGCTCGACGGTCAAGCTGCGGTGGAATTGGCGGACCTGTGGTAAGGGGTATTTGAAGGCTTCGGGGGCGGATGAGCAAGTCGCCGGGTCGAGGGTCTTGTTTGCGGCCATTATGCTGGTTTGAAGGGAGATTGAGAAAGGATGGGAATGGCGCGCGAGGGCGCGGGGAGGTTACAGGCGGTCTAGATCTGCCTGATGTTGCAGTATCATCTGAGCTGGAGCCAATATTGGAACGTTATATCCCTTACCAGTCAGTGACTTTGACGAGTCGATCAGCATTCAGACGTTGTTGTGAATGTACAACTAGAAGACACGGTTAAACAACAGTCCATGCGCGCCTCTCAGCCTTCTCTTGCAAGGCTGAAAGCTGCCTAGAAAAACCTGGCAAGGTGGCATCACGCGTGTGCCTGGAAAAGACCTGGCAAAACCTGAACACGTTACTCTGTTCTAGTAATGGTGGTATATTTGGTCCTTTCCTTCTTCGATGCTAACCACTAACATATTGAATTCAGTCTTCAGTGAACGTGATTCTGACGGCTTCAAGAATGTTAGTCTGTGCTCCTAAAGACATGCGTTCTCATTAACTGTACAATCTGTTGAAATCGTGTATTTCCTTGGACAAGACAATAACCGCCATGACAATACATAGAAAATCCCCAAGTATAAATGCGCCTGATGAGACATTTCAAGGGGATCCATTCCGAGCAACATGACGCCCTCAATCCGATCCTATTTCATGCATGCGACGTCTACCGAGTTCCTGCTCAGAGCTGGACTTGAAAGAGGAACTTTGAAGGCATTACCGAGATAAGGGACTGAAGGGTGTGGATCGCATACGTTCTTCCCCCTTGACTTTACCGTACATGTACCCGGCACAGAGGTACGACTCACGGAACTGGCACCAGCACATTACTTCGATTCTTATTTTCTGTCGTATTCCCGATCTGTCCCGGAGACTTCTCTCGCGGCTCAGGGGCTAGTATGTACATCGCTCCCTGGGCCCGGGGACCTTGAGGTTCATTCAAAGGGCTTTGAAAACCGCGCTCAGCATATCACGGCCAATCAATACTTCGAGGATTTCAGAAAGGAAGATAGAAAGATCGTGCTTTGTCAGCGCGTCAGTCACTCGCATGCGACTTTCGAAGTCGGCTCTTAGCGGGTGGGGTCGAGTGAGAAGTAAACAAACGCAGGGACGTACCCGCTTCCCATTCGTAAACAGCACTGTCTACCTTCCGCATGCAAGGCAAGTTTCGATGTGCATCCAGCAAAGATCACATGCATTCTATCCGTCCGTCTCGATCTGGCTCGCTAGCCAAGCTGCAACCAACCCAGACAGTTGCAAGATTCGAATCACCCACCCCGCTGCCTCGCTACCGGTGATCCCGTAGCGTCCAAGGATCCAGAACAGCAGACTGCACAGCACCGCCGCCGCCATCTGCGGAGTCGCGATCGCCATGTTCTGCATGCCCATCACAGCCCCGGCTTGCAGAACCGCCTTCGGTTCGTCTCTCCCGTCGTCCATCTCGGCCTTCTCTGCATTGCCCAGCATGCCGTCCAGCTCGTCCGCTGCATCGTCATCCTCTGCAGATGGCGGCCGGTATTCCGTGGAGGCGGACCCCTGGGACAGTATCTGTTGCGACGCTGGGATGTACGTCTGGCTCTTTGCGATTTCGGCGCTGATGAGTGCATGTGGCACCCATTGTGTGATGGCCCACGAGATTCCCAACGTGGCCACGAGCAGTGTGGAGATGAGGAGGCTGTCCGTGAATGCTGTTGAGAGGAGGATGACGAATCTGAAGATGTGAGACGCTGCCCAGAGTCTAGGGAGGGTGAGCCAGGATGTCTTGAAACGCCTGTAAAGTGTTCGGATCCGGTTGAGAACTTGATATTGCGATTTCTGGGCGAAGGTCAGATAGTCTTCGCTCTCGGTGGCGCTGCTTATGATGAAGTGTGGTAGAGTGAGATTTGTCAGGAGGGCCATCGTGGCGAAGAAGACCAGGGCGAGGGTCCCATATCGAGTTGACTCGCAGGTTACCGAAGAAGAGGATGGAGCTGGGAGAGCCGTGGACGGAGTCTGTACTTGGAATTTTACACCATCTGGCAATATCAGCGATTACCACAACAGTATCGGATATTAACGACACTTACAAATATCCCCGATATACGTGGTGATGTAGAACATGAACGGAAACCATGACAGCCATGCAAAAAATTGAACCGCAAAAATCTTCAGTATCTTACTTGGAAAGATCCTGAAGTTTGCAAAGAGCTCCCTCAGCCGGCCAAGAAGACCACTACTGTGCTTCGGAAACGAGGCGGCATCTAGCTTCCTCTCCTTTATCGTGAGGCAACTGAGTGCTACCGTAGAACCCAGCGCAACTGAAGCAATCACACAGACCCCTTTCATCTGCGTATCTCCCAGCCATGGTAACAGTAGCGGCAAATCGACAAAGGCGGTCGAGTATCCCAGGATACTTCCAAATCCAATAACACAGCTTGCATACGCGCTGGCTTGGACCTGCTGGGGCAGAGAGACCGAGTCGATGATCAGAGCTCGGATGCCGGACTGGACAGGTTGGATGGATATATTAAGAGCCCAAATCCACATGGAAGCCAGGATTTGAGTGGCCAGTAGCTCTGAGCTCCGCCACTCTCTGCTATTCCCATCGAATAGCGAGAAGAGAAAGGCAACACAGTCTGGGGTCCAAGGTAGTCCAATAGTGCATATGATGGTGAGTACTGTGCCAAGGATTATGAAAGGTCGTCTTCGGCCCCATCGATTCTCGCAGGAGTCGCTGAGGATGCCAATATATGGCTGGACGAAAGCTCCTGATAGTTGGGCGAGCCATACGAGGGCGATGATCGGAGAAGGGAGTCCTAGCGATGTGAGGTATGGCTACAACGGCACATTTTCAGCGTATGCCATGCTATGTATGTATATATCTACTTGTTGGAAGTGAGCTTACCGAGCCTTGGGACATGATGGTTGTCCATATAACCTGTAGGCTGAGCAAAATATTAGCCTATGTGCTTTCTTGAAAAGTCTTCATGGTGTATGGGGGAAAGAAAAAGCTTTACCCTCCGATGCTCACAGTGAGATATATCAAATACAACGGAGTCCTCATTTCAGCCTCTCCCTCACGCAGCCGACCATGGCTGCAAGATGCCCGACTCTGCCCAGTATCCAAGCTAGAACTGGAACCGTGATCTTGTGCTGCGCACTGCCTCGCACTTTCGAGAGCCACGCTCTTCTCCATCTCGAAGGTTTTGGTGGAATCCCGTGCAGGTATGACTTCGACGAGCAAAAGAGAAAAGGATCTCGAGAGTCAATAGCTTCACGGGTCCATGGTGGGTGGCTCTTAACACTCGCTTTGCCTCACCGCACTTTCTGACAATCCTATTATTGTACTTGGTGACACCAAACTAGAGTCACCGGGTGCTATTCCAACGCTGCAACAAGCAGCTTTTAACATGAGACTAATGTTTGGAGGTCGATAATGAACAGGGACTTGGAATTTGCACTGTAGGCCTGTTGGAACCGAAGCTGATTCTTTTGGCAGTTCCTATTTCCTTGGTCGAACTTCTCTAAGGTGCCGTTTGGTAAATATGGCCACTCGGAAACTCGGAACTAGGAAGTAGGAATTAGGAATAGAAACCGTTCCCAGAACGTCTCGGAAACGTTTTCTAGTGCCTAAACCTGTCTGGTAACGCTTCCTAGAATCTATGACTTAGAAATACTCTTCGTTTGAAGATTGAGTTGATCATCAATGCCGACTTTCTTCCGGTCAAGTATGGTATAAGTATTCGTGGTGATTGATAAGTCAATACATAGCATAAAAGTAAAAGTAACTCGGTCAGCTTCCTTAAAGGTTTTTAGTGGTGACCGGTATTATAGTTGTAGAAACAGGTCAATACGAAGTTCAGCTTTGTAATTTTCTTACAATCTACGATTAGTAGGGCTTCGAGCTCGTTTCATAGTTCCTAGTTTCGATTTCGAGGTTTCGATTTCCTACGGAGAAAGCTGTTACCAAAACCTAGGTTATATGGATTAGGAAATCGAAAATGGCTTGGAAACACGGCTAGGAAGCGTTACCGAACGGGCCCTGAAAGAAAAATTACTACCCAAGGTTTCAACTCCTACATCTCTCTTTCCAACACCAATTTTCCGGATTGGGAAGCATCTCGAAAAAAGAAAATACATAAAAACCGTCCGGACCGAGAGAGAAAGCAGAAACTCGAGGAAGTGCATAACATAACATGGCGGCGCCGCTCATTGTTTTTCAATTCGGTACGCGCTCAACATGCGAGAGGTTTGGCGCTAATTAGGGTGGTAGCAGAGCTAGTTCACCGATTAATATTCACCCGTCCAATGAATTGGAGGATCTGGACTCTGCGGTACCATGTACGACATGTGCGACAATCCCCGCCCATCATACAGACCTCATTGACGACCTGTCAGAAACGTCGAGAGATCTTGGGGCGCCGTTCGATTACACTCGCCTGCTTTGGTTAGCTGGAACATGATCAGGTCGACGCGAGGAAGACGAGGGCATTTCAGGTGGTAAAACAAAAAGGAGAGTAGACGGTCCTGAGCCCGTATATATATAAGAATATATCTGTCGGTCGGCAATTTGGAGCTTCGGTTCTTCGGTGTACATATACATGCCGTAAGAGGTGTGGGGGTCTCACGTAGGGCGTACATAGAACAACTCACCTTGCTAATGACTTACGGAGGGACAGACTCGAAGGTCAACAGCATAATGCATGGCTCAGGACTTGCCTGATTGCTTGCTGACGTATTCAATTTAAACGGGTCGTATTCCTGATATCTTACACCAGGCTGCCTTGATATCCCAAGCGTTCGCCCTCTCCCCCGTAGCCACCCGTCACTGCCTCAAGTCCGCGAAGAACTTATGGAGATCGGCGAAC